AATCTGTGAAATGAAAATATTACTTACTTTATTATAATCCTATAGAATAAAATAAGTAATATGACTTTAAATGTTTCCACTAGGACTGATCTCACGTAGCGTTAAGACATGACACATTGCTTTACTGATCCAATCAGAATCTGCCAGATCTGACGAAGGCGTGGTTTTGGTGGTGTTTGGTAAACCTGTCATCTTTTCATTCGACCATAAACCAAAACATCCAAAGTATAAAACTATGCCCACGTCATCTCTAACGCCAGTTCAAAGCGTTCTAGAGAAGTTGTCGGAGTGGCCAATCCGTAACTTTCCTCTTCAGCCAAAAGAACCAACGACAAGCTGGATAAAATCTGTTGCTGTTCCACCTGCTGCAACGGTTCCTTTCAGAATAAAAGCTGAATCATCACGTTTTGGGTCTTGTTAGATGCCAACAAAACTGTCGTGACCCCGAAGTATCTCAAGACTGGACTGGTCGGCTGCCGCGGCTGTTCTACAAGCTTCGGCTCCAAAGGGTCCAAGCTGGACCTCTACACCAAGGGCGTAGGAACGAGTTTAATATTGGGGGGAACAAATTTTGGAAATCTAACAAATCTGTTTTAGGTCAATATATACCGTAGGTCAACTTCACTGAAAAAATACATTAAATGATTATTTCTGATTCTAACGTGTCACTGAGTGTTTCATGCAGGCTGAACATGAACATAGTCTCCTGCCGCTATCTCCTGCAGTAGCTTCTGATAGAAAATCTGATAGACGGTGAAACTCTAGGATTAGAAAAGTCTGACAGATGTGACTGAGGGCGTAAGGCAAAGCCCAGAAAGACAAGAAAATAACTTTTATAGCTCAGTTCACTAACATTCTGTTTTTTTTTTTTTTTGATCGGGGACCCATGAGCCAGCCAGAAGGGGAGGAGACTTAGGCTCCTTTTGACACTGTAGACCACAACGTTCTACTAAACAGGTTAAAGGCCCTGGCTGGGATTTCAGGTTCTGCTCTAGACTGGCTCTCTTCCTATCTCACCAACAGAACATTCACAGTGAAGTCCGAAACCTTCTCTTCAGATACTGCCTCTCTAACATGCGGGGTCCCACAAGGTTCAGTTCTAGGGCCTATACTATTCGCATTCTATATTCTTCCCCAAGCTGGCATCATTCAGTCTTTCCCAGACATCTCCTACCACATCTACGCTGATGATATTCAGCTCTATATGTCCTTTATGCCACACCAGTTGGACAGGCTGGCCACACTTGTACTCTGCCTGACCCAGATCAGTAACTGGCTGTCCAGCAACTTTCTTGTCCTCAATGCTAACAAGACAGAGACCCTGATCTCTGCACCCCCGGAACTTCGGCCAGAAATCGAGCAAGAAATTGCCTCTTTTTGCCCATCAGCCAAGGCCAACATTAGAAACCTAGGAGTTATTTTTGATCCAGCTTTAAGTTTAGACTCACACGTCAAAACCATCTCCCGCTCTCGTTTCTTTCAACTGAGAAACATTTCAAAAGTCCGTAAACTGGTTTCTACTGCAGATCTGGAAAAAATCATCCATGCCTTTGTGTCATCACGCTTAGACTACTGTAACGCTCTTTTTACTGGTCTCAGCAAAACCTCCCTCTCACGCCTTCAAGCCATCCAAAATGCAGCAGCCAGACTCCTAACCAAATCCAGCAGACGAGCTCACATCACTCCAGGTTTACAGTCCCTCCACTGGCTCCCGGTAGAATATAGAATACAGTTTAAAGTTTTAGTCCTGACCTATAGAGCTCTTAACAACCAGGCTCCAAGCTACCTATCTGAGCTTTTATCCCCACACACCACCTCTCGGAACCTTAGATCCACATCTGAAAACCTCCTGGCTGTTCCTGGAACCAGACTGAAAACCAAAGGGGACAGGGCCTTTCAGACTATTGCACCCAGACTTTGGAACAGTCTACCTTCTAATCTCCGTCTCTCTAACACTGTAGAGGTCTTTAAAAATCATCTAAAAACTCACCTTTTCATCCAGGCGTTCCCTCCCTAAATGTTTCAAAAAGATGGCTTTGTTCGGGTTCACACCTTCACTTTGTTTATACTCATGATTTAATTTACTATTTTATCACTGCTATTGTTTTTCTGATGGTTTATTGGTTAGTGGTATTTGCCCTGATCTTTATCATGTTGTACAGCGCTTTGTGATTTATGCCTGTGAAAGGCGCTCTATAAATAAACTTTTACTTACTTACTTACTTTTACTTACTTACTTACTCCCCATGAGCCGGATCCAGGTGATTACCGGCCAACGTGGACGTTTTAATTATAAAAAAGCTGTTTATGTGTCAGTAGTGTTTTATTTTTATTTAATAATATGAATGTAGGATATATTTTAATAATATGAATGTAGGATATATTATCTTATTCCTATGGGTAGAGATGTGTAAACAGATTTAATACCAGACTAAAGCTGTGAATATTCAGTCTGAATTGATCTGACTCTCATCAGAATATTTTAAACTACATCAGCCAACAATGCTGACCAACAATCAGAAAAATCTGTTTGTTTCTGACAGAATGAAAAAAGAAATAATTCACTTACAACAACAGCTGGAACTACGTTATTATTCAGATGGACAAAAGAAACAAACAGTGGCCAAAACTGCAGTCTAAATGCACCAGAAAGCAGAGTTTAACACTTATTTTTCTGATATTTCTAAGGAAGCGTGTACAGAATGTAATTTATTCTTAAACCGTACTGCCCAGCCCTACTTGTAATGGGATTACATATATTTAACTGTGTTCACTTATTATTACATTCAAATCTTCCTCTCATCAGTAACCTAAAACCATCTCACTCTTCACTGTAGCACCTACCTGCACCTCAGCAGGTCTGGCTCTCCCTGTCTCACCCTCAGCAGGTCTGGCTCTCCCTGTCTCACCCTCAGCAGGTCTGGCGCTCCCTGTCTCACTCTCAGCAGGTCTGGCTCTCCCTGTCTCACCCTCAGCAGGTCTGGCTCTCCCTGTCTCACTCTCAGCAGGTCTGGCGCTCCCTGTCTCACCCTCAGCAGGTCTGGCGCTCCCTGTCTCACCCTCAGCAGGTCTGGCGCTCCCTGTCTCACTCTCAGCAGGTCTGGCTCTCCCTGTCTCACCCTCAGCAGGTCTGGCTCTCCCTGTCTCACTCTCAGCAGGTCTGGCGCTCCCTGTCTCACTCTCAGCAGGTCTGGCTCTCCCTGTCTCACCCTCAGCAGGTCTGGCGCTCCCTGTCTCACTCTCAGCAGGTCTGGCTCTCCCTGTCTCACCCTCAGCAGGTCTGGCTCTCCCTGTCTCACTCTCAGCAGGTCTGGCTCTCCCTGTCTCACTCTCAGCAGGTCTGGCGCTCCCTGTCTCACCCTCAGCAGGTCTGGCTCTCCCTGTCTCACTCTCAGCAGGTCTGGCTCTCCCTGTCTCACCCTCAGCAGGTCTGGCGCTCCCTGTCTCACCCTCAGCAGGTCTGGCGCTCCCTGTCTCACCCTCAGCAGGTCTGGCTCTCCCTGTCTCACCCTCAGCAGTTCTGGCTCTCCCTGTCTCACCCTCAACTGGTTCCTGCTGAACTTCATCTGATCTCTAATATAAAAACAGTGGACAGGAATAAGGAGTAAAAATACTGTTGGACGACTAGTGCAACATTAAAATCATGGTTGTTATAGTATTATTTAGTCGTGTTTACTTGTTATCATACTTGAATCTTCCTCTCATCATCAACCATCTAAAATCTCACTCCACTGTAGCACCTACCTGCACCTCAGCAGGTCTGATGCTGCCTGTCTCACCTTCTTCATCATTTCCTGCTGAACTTCCTCTGGTCTCTTATATGAAAAAAGTGACATGAATAAGGTTTAAAAATGAAATGTGATGAGAATGTCACAAACAAGCAACAGTCACACTTACAAACTCCATTTCTATGTGGAGATTCTACTTTTTTATTTATTTTGTGTCAAATGGTTTTTGTCTGTTACTGTAAAATTCGCCATTTTTTGTTGACTAGAAGTGTTGTTTAATGTTTAATGCTAACTAGCAAGATGTTTACGCTAGTCAGCCATTTTAGCGTTTGATCAGAAATAAAATTATACTCTTGGACTAAATTATTACCAACTCACAATTCCTTTCTTTCTTTTTTTGCCCATGAGAAGAACTCGCTGCGCTGCTGCCGTCTGTCTGACACCTGTCTGCCCCGGCTCTGACTCCTGCTTCTCTCAGCCAGCCTGTCTAACTCCCTGAGGGGAGGGGCTGTGTCGGAGAGAAGTCCGCGGTGTCTTTCAAAATAAAAGCTCGCGAGTCAAATATTTAAAAATCACTCTTTTTCTTCTCCATGTTATTGGGGGGGACGAATGCGCGTTTGTCAAATATTGGAGGGGACACGTCCCACCCATCCCCCCCGGTTCCTACGCCCTTGCTCTACACCTCCTGATCTAGACGGGGACTTCTGCTGAGGGTATGTAGACCGACAGAATGGCGTCTTATGTGTTTATGAATCTCCAAATCAAAGCTTAGCGCGAAGACATCACCTTCACTTCCCACCAGAACTAATTGTTTCTTCGGATTTGCTGGTTCTGAGCAACATTCCACACTACACCATTCTCCGTCTCACTCACCTTAGTTACATCATACATTTAGTGTTAAAGTTAGTCTAGTTTAATTTGTTTAGTAATAAATCTTTAAACTTTTAAACTTGACTCTCTCTTCTGTTGTCTCTGAGTTAATACAAAGTGTTACATAATCCTTGCAATAAAAAGGTCCAATCTTCTGGTTAAAAGTACCCACAGATCCATAAGGTTGATTTCATATTTACTATGGAATCCTATGGCTCATTAAATAACATGTAAATTAAACCATTACAACGGTAAGGTGGAAGCCCAGGGAGAGGTATCATTCAGTTTTGTTTTATATAATTTAGTTTTGATATTTAATTTTAATATTTATTTCTAATATCGGTTAGTTTTAGATTGGGACCTGGCCTCGCTCTGACCCTCAGGTGTGTTTGTGTTCACCAGGTGCAGATCTACGAGCTAGAGGAACACAAGATTGAGACTTGGAGAGGTGGGAGATCTCACTGACCACAGGTCAGCCACTAATATACCTTTTATACTAACATGTTGGAAATAACTTGCTTGTGTTCGTGTTCACAGAGCTGTACCTGCAGGAGACCTTCAAACCCCTAGTCCACATCCCACCTGATGCCAGGTATCTTAGTTCTTGTTGTGAATCTGCAGAGAAAAACCCACAAACACCCTAAACATCCCAGAGTCTTGACCAGACATATCCTACCCACCCCACCTCCAGTATATTTGAAGCGGTCCACTCTCTGATAAAGAACAAGATCCACCGACTCCCTGTCATCGATCCCATCAGTGGGAATGCTCTCTACATCCTGACCCACAAGAGGATCCTCAAGTTCCTACAGCTGTTTGTGAGTCAATGACTGGGGGGCATAACAGTCTGGGTGAAACCTTACTGGGGGGGGGGGGGGGGTTCCTGATAGTTTTACTCTGTTACCATGGTAGCACTTCCTTTGGTGAGAAGTGACAAAGGGTGTGTCCGAATCCGTGGGAAGGATCAATCAATCAAAGCTTTATTTATAAAGCGCCTTCCGCAACCCTGTCAGGAAGCCCAAAGCGCTGAACATGGTACAGTTGTAAGTAAATATATTGAATAAATCAACAATAAAAGCAATTCAAATTACAAAATACAAATTGCAAAATATAAATTACAAGATAGATGAAACATTCTGGCACAGAACAAATGTGTAAAACAATGGATTGAGTGAACCAATGAAAACTGTGAGATAAAATCAACATAAAAGAGGCCAAAATCAAACATGTTCAGGAAACGCCAAGCGGAGGAGGTGGGTTTTTAGGTGATTCTTAAAGACTGGCAGAGAAGGGGACAGCCTAACTGAGGGTGGCAACTGGTTCCAGAGTGACGGTGCTAGGACTGAGAAAGCCCGGTCCCCACGAGTACGACACCTAGACCGAGGGACAGTGAGCAGGCCTTGGTCAGAGGAGCGCAGAGCGCGTGATGGGGAGTGTTTGTTCAGGAGAGTGGCTAGATAGGGGGAGCACCACCCTGGAAGAAATGATAAACATAGACGAGGATTTTGAATTGTGAGCGATAGTGAACCGGAAGCCAGTGCAGGGAGGCCAGAACCGGACTGATGTGGTCCCGTTTCCTGGTCCCAGTCAGGAACCTGGCGGCGCTGTTCTGCACAACCTGTAGGCGACGCAGTGATGACTGACACAACCCTGCATAGAGAGAGTTGCAGTAGTCAAGCCGAGAAATTACAAAGGCATGCAGTACCCGCTCCAGGTGGGCTCTCGACAGCATGGGCTTGATTTTAGCAAGGCGTCTCAGGTGAAAGAAACTGGACCGGATCACTGAATTGATGTGAGCATCAAATTTAAGTCCAGCATCAAGTTTCACCCCCAAACTGGTAACAACTGGTTTTGAGTAGGGAGAAAGAGGGCCAAGATCAACATAACGATCCACATTCCTGCTGTTGGGGTGAAAAACAATGAGCTCTGTCTTTCCCTCATTCAGATGTAGATAGTTGGCCATTAGCCAAGACTTCACCTCATTAATACAGGACACAAAGGACTGGATAGAGTGACCTTTCTCCTGACACAATGGAGAGTAAATCTGGCAATCGTCAGCATACAGATGGAATGATAGGCCATGTTTACGAAAGATTGACCCCAGAGGTAGCAGATAAATGGCAAACAAAAGAGGACCTCCACATGCATACACGTGCACCACTGTCTGAACATCACCAAACATAAACTAATATATACCTATTTACACGTTTTAAAACACTTCATATAATTCAGACAGAGTCAAGAAAAGTTTATGAAAATGATTTTTATTCTGTTTTCCTAAACTAAATGATTGTACTTGACAAACTGATGGTTGTGTCGATAACAGATGATGGATGGAATGGAGCTAGATGTTTTAGCTAACTCTTAAGTATCTGAGAGAGATAGTGGAGTCTGGGCTATAAAATCAGTTTGGCTGTTTGGTTTAATAAGCTAAAGTTTCTTTATAAAACCTTCCGACGCAGTATGTGCCGAGTCGACGCACCCTGGTGTGAAGATCCCCAAGCGATCCAGAGGGTCAGGAGGTTGGGGTGGACACTGCCGGTGGCGTGAGCCTCTAGGTACCAGGAACTTGTATATTAGCTCCGGTACAACCCGTCTAGTCTGAGATACCTCCAGGTGACGGCAGGAGGCTGGAGTGCTTGTTTTGCGTGTGAGGGTGTTTGGCATTGTCTGAAATCACTCACAAGCGCTGCAGAGAGGCTTTGACCGTGAGGTCGAAGGAGAGGATGGTCTCAAAATGCTTGCTCACCCGACTGGCCTGGTCAAGGGAACAGCGAAGACTGACCAGACCAGGAAGTAATTCCTGTTTTATCACCTTCATTGTTTATAAACAAAAAAATCAGAAGTGGACACGTTTAAAAGGCGTTACCAGAAATCACTCTTCCCTCGGATACTCAGAGAGGTTAACTCTTAGGTGACGTGAAAGTTAAAACCTTAATATTAGTCTGATGATGGATCAATCAATCAGTCAATCAATCAATTTTATTTGTAGAGCACCTTCCACAACGTTTCAGAAGCCCAAGGTGCTGAACAGCATCATCATACAAACATTCCCAGTACCTGGGCATAAAAGCAAGATAAAAACATAAAATCATAAAATATCAAGCAAACAATATTACAAATACAGAGAGATAACGGAATAAGACTAATCAATTAAAAACGAATGGTGGACAAAATAAGATCAAGCATCCTGGTCAAAAAGAAGAAGAATTAAAACCATCATGTCAGGGCAATTCAAAGAACCCTGGCGCTGAAAAGCAATCAAATAGAAATGAGTCTTTAGACGAGACTTAAAGACTGGAAGGGACGGCGCCTGCCTAATGCTCAATGGTAATTCATTCCACAGAGCTGGAGCCAAAACAGAAAAAGCACGATAACCCCTCGATCGATATTTCGACCGGGGGACCACCAGAAGTTCCTGCTCGGCTGAGCGAAGAGACCGAGACGGAGCATACCTGTGCAAAAGTGCAGTAATGTACGAGGGGGCACTGCCCTGGAGGGCCTTATAAACGAGAGTTAAGATTTTAAATTTAGCTCAATATTGCACCGGGAGCCAGTGCAGAGAAGTCAGCACTGGAGTAATGTGCTCTCGACATCTAGTACCTGTCAGGAACCTAGCCACAGAGTTCTGCACAAACTGGAGCCGTGCAACCGTGCACTGGGCCAGACCAGCATACAGAGCGTTACAGTAGTCCAGACGGGACAGGACGAAAGCATGCAACACAGACTCCAGATGAGCTCTGGACAGCAGAGGCCTGATCCTGGATAGTCTTTTCAGGTTAAACAAACAGGACCTCACCACTGTATTTACATGAGTGTCAAGATTAAGTGATGAGTCAATTTTAATCCCCAAATTACTATTTTCTTTTCATAGGGGGTCAATGAGCCAAGGTCAATATCAGCACCTGAGCCATTTCTTCTGCCGGGACTAAGTATTATGACTTCCGTTTTGCTCTCATTTAGGTGCAAACAATTAGAAGCCATCCAGCATTTTATGTCCTTCAAACAGTCCAATAAAGGAGAAACAGATCTACTCTGGGAGTAGAGAGTCAGGTGGTGAGTTTGTAATGGCAGCTCGAATAGCTCTAACCGTATCAACAAAAAAGTGAAGAAAGTCATTACAAGTTTCACCTGTGGGAGGCAGAGAACTAGAATCAGAGAACTCAAGAAGCGAATTTACTACAGAACAAAGAGAGCGTGGATCGTGAGAATTTTTTTCCACGATATCAGCAAAGAACTTCACCCTTGCTTCCTTAAGAGTTTGCTGATAGCTAAACAAAGATTCTCTGAATATCTCACGAGAGACTTGGAGTCTGTCTTTCTTCCATTTCCTTTCTGCCCTCCTGCAGGCCCGAACATCATCAGAGAGCCATGGTTCTGGCCTAGGCCTCGGCTTTCTAATCCTAAGAGGTGCAATTCTATCCAAAATGTTTTTACAGATACTGTCAAACTGGAGTGTAAGCTCCTCTGCATTAAGTGACATTGTGTGTAGCTCACTTCCTTCTGCACATAGGAGCTCGCCAAGCTCAATAATCTTTGCTGCATTTAAAACACGACAAAATCTCACATGAGAGGAAGCCACAGCAGACACGCAGGGCAAGTTAAAATCACATAGAATGGGCGAGTGATCAGAAAAAACCGGGCTCAGTATCTCTACACCAGCAACAGAGAGACCAATAGAGAGCACCAAATCCAAGGTGTGTCCCTGCGCATGAGTAGGACCCAGGACCCACTGTGACAGATTAAGGGAGCCCAACAGATGTAAGATGACTTTAGCCAATGGCTTATCAGGGCAACACACATGAATATTAAAATCACCAAGAATCAAAACCTGATCATACTTTAGCATGTTTACAGACAGGAGGTCAGAGAAGTCCTTTAAAAAGTCCACATCAAACTTAGGAGGACGATATATCAACGCCACGAGCAACAGAGGAGGTGGGCCAAGTTCAGACAGGCACATTTCAAAGCTGGAAGGAGGATTCAACAGAATAAGCTGTTTACAGTTGAAGTGAGATTTATAGACGACCAGTCCACCGTCTCTGCCAGAAGACCTCGGGACATTAAAACAGCTACAAGCCACTGGTAGTAGTTCCAGTAAAGCACTCGAATCTCCCATGGGCAGCCAGCTCTCACATATGCACAGGAGTTCCAACCCCTGTGCAACAAAGAACTCTTTCAAAATGAAAGTTTTATTCATTACCGACCTGGCGTTGACCAGACCCAGCCGTGTGAGATGTGGAGTCGTCGGCCCAGCGCTGTTTAAGCCCAGGGACGTGGATGGTACTCCCGTACAGGTCACCGGGTGGAGATTCGCTGGGTTGACTCCCCTCCATCGGCACCGAGACACTGGACGAAAGGGCGGGTGCGCAGTCTCCTCATCAAATCCCACCAACGGCACGAGGCAGGACGGGGCCGGCTCCAACAGGCGTGACGGCGCCACAAGATGACAGCTGATACCCGTCCGCTCAGCAAGCTCCCTACGGGACTGTGACAGCTTGGACCGTAGTCTCACCCGCCGTCCACCACGCCTTCCACGACCCCTACAACGCTTCCTCCAGTTAGCCCGATCCAGGAGCCGTTGGTGGTGCCGAGCGGCACTGGCAGGAGGACGAAAAACCGGAACTCCTCCAGCCCGTCCAAGCACCCGGTTTCGCCAGGCCAGCAGCCGACCGAAGTTCTAGAAGAGCCTCTCGGTCATAAGTCAGCAGCAAAGTCACATTACACACGAAAACACTCAAAAATAATAAAAAGATAAAATAACTGAGAGGAGACAGACGGCTTGCCACGTACACCGGCGCCATCTTGGTTCCTCATCAGATCATGCATGAGTATGCTGGTAGACTAACCTGTTAAATCAACAAACACTGACCCGGTGACTGACATGAACCACTGCAGGAAAAATATTCATTTGAACTCGTCACTGACTGAAGCACACGTTATTCACACACCTTGGATTTAAAAAGAGATGATTATGTGACACTTGTCATTTATGATGGAAGGAAGATGAACTTTATTCAGTGAGAGTAAAAGGTCTCGTCTCCTGCCTGAGACCTTGAGCAAACACATTATGGCTTCCTTGTGCGGTGACCAGGTCTTGTGCAGTGCTTCCTGTTGGGAGACCAGACAGATGGGGTGTTTGTTTCTGCAAATTAAAAGTTAGTTTCTGGTCATTTGTGGTGTAAACTTGTCCTTTGGGTACGCTACACAGGGGAGCTAAGGGGAGCCCGGCGTTCTACCTGTATGACGTTATTCACGTGGACGCAGTGTACCGGGATTCTTTCCAGCAGAGCATGGAGAGCTGCAGATTGCTGATTTTTGATGTGCTCCAGGCGGCTGCATCTTGCACACAGCCCTTCTCCTTCCAACCTCCTTATGGATATGAGCTTCACCCCCTCCAGCCTCAGAAGCACCTGCAGATGGAACAAATGGCACCAGACACCATTTTTGACTACAGCTAGAAACGACAGTGTCACGCGGTACACCTTTTTTCTGATTGGTTATTTTTCAGCTGGCTAGTCCCGCCCCTCGTGTGCCTGTGAGTAACCAGACTAGTTCTCTGCAGAATTAAACACAGGCTACTAGCTGCTAATGCTACACACGGCTGTAACCGGAGCGTCTAGTTTCTGGCCTTCAGAGGCCTTCTGGGGATCCAACCAATCAGCGAACAGCTCATTATCATATTCATGTCCTGGCCGAGTGGGCGGGGTTAACCGGTCTTTTCAGAGCAGGGCTGGAATAGAGAGAGGTGTATCAGAGCAAGAAGACGATCTAAAACACTGTGTGTGTGTGTGTGTGTGTGTGTGTGTGTGTGTGTGTGTGTGTGTGTGTGTGAGGTGTGTGAGATGCCAATGCCAGCCTTCATGAAGCAGACGCTGGAGGACCTGGCGGTGGGGACCTACTCCAACATTGCCTACATCCACCCCGACACGCCTCTCATCACGGCTCTGTCCGTGTTCACACACCGCCGTGTCTCCGCCCTGCCCGTCGTGGACCACAACGGTACCCCTGCTCCCTCGTCCTGCTTGTCCTGGTGTGCTTAGCTGCTCTGACCTTCTGACCTTCTGTCTGTCTGCAGGGAAGGTGGTGGACATCTACTCCAAGTTTGACGTGATTGTGAGTGCAGCCTTGTTGTGCCAGCTGTGTGGACCAGATGAGAACACTGACTGTGGTGTCAAGTCAATTCAATTCAAGTTTATTTATAAAGCGCCAAATCACGACAAGAGTCGTCTCAAGGCACTTCACATAATAAACATTCCAATTCAGGTCAGTTCATTAAGCCAATCAGAAATAATGTTTCCTATATAAGGAACCCAGCAAATTGCATCAAGTCACTGACTAGTGTCAGTGACTATACAGCAACCCTCATACTAAGCAAGCATGCAGCGACAGTGGAGAGGAAAACTCCCTTTTTAACAGGAAGAAACCTCCAGAGAATCCTGGCTCAGTATAAGCAGCCATCCTCCACGACTCACTGGGGATGGAGAAGACAGAGCAGACACACACACACACACACACACACACACACACACACACACACGCACACACGCACGCACACACACACACACACACACATGCACACGCACACATGCACACACACACACATGCACACATGCACACATGCACACACACACACGCACACGCACGCACACACACACACGCACGCACACACACACACACACACATGCATGCACGCACCCATACACACACACACACACACGCACGCACGCACGCACACACACACACACATGCACACGCACACATGCACACACACACACATGCACACATGCACACACACACACGCACACACACACACACACGCACACGCACGCACACACACACACACGCACACACACACACACACACACATGCATGCACGCACCCATACACACACACACACACACACACACACACGCACGCACGCACGCACACACACACACACACACACACACACGTAATGTGTCTATAGTTATATTGTGATGTCTTAGTAAATATTGTATTTGGTGAAAGATAAACTTTATTGTTTTTATCCTAGTATTTAAACGGATAAACTAGTATTAGCACATGAAAAGTCAATGAAAACAAAAAGTTATTATCAGGAGAGGGAGAATGTTTTAGTGGTTAGCAGCAGTGTGCTAGACGATGGCCCCCTCCATGAGGCCACCACAGCTCAGCAGAACATCGTTGTAGCTTCTTCTGGGGAGAAAAACACTTAGAGAGAAAATAAAGTTAACAGCTGAAATAGCAGGAAATAATACAGTTAAAGAGCAGATAGTAGAAGAAAGCAGTAGAGTGTGAAAAGTGGTCAGTGTGTCCTCCAGCAGTCTAAGCCTATAGCAGCATAACTACAGAGATAACTCTGGATAATCTATCCTATTTAGATGGAGGCATGTTGGAGGCAGGGCAAGGGAGAGCCGTCTTTACCGACTGTACACTCCACCTCCCTCTACTCCCCCACTTGTCCAGATTTAGGCTAACATCAGATTTTAACCATAGGCCCTATCAAATAAAAATGTTTTAAGCCTATTCTTAAAAGTAGACAAGGTGTCTGCCTCACGGACTAAAGCTGGGAGCTGGTTCCACAGGAGAGGAGCCTGATAACTAAAAGATCTGCCTCCCATCCTGTGCAGAACCTGGCGGCTGAGAAGACCTACAACAACCTTGATGTGACGGTCACCCAGGCCCTCAGACACAGGTCTCAGTACTTTGAGGGAGTCATGAAGTGCAACAAGCTGGAGACCCTGGAGACCATTGTGGACCGTATTGTGAAGGCTGAGGTAACAGCTGATGGGTCATGTGATGCTGACACCAGACAGGAAGTGGGTCAGCTGATTGTTCTTATTCAGAGCTTTTATTTTGATAGGAAGCATTCCTAGTAATATGTGTCTGTGTGTTTTCAGCTGCGTGCTAGTGTTAGGGGTTGGGTTTTTTCATTTGAATGAATTGAATCCACATCTTCATCACTGAATGAAACATGACAACAACAATGGGAGAACAGAAAAAAGAACCAATCAGCAAATGGAACAGGCGGGGCTAGGCGAGAGAAGAACCAATCAGAGAGGGCCGCTGTTTGAACAAGCTAGCGGTTGCCACAGACATCATACCTGATGCTTAAAAGGAAGAGCTGTCCGTGGCTGGGAGGAAAACGTTAGATGTTACGATGGGTTAGGTTCAGGGCACTGTGAACAGACTCCGGTCAGAAAATCACTTTATTTTGATGAACTGGTGTGGTCTAAATTAGAAAGAGAGCACAACATTATCGTATTTATGTATTCTTTATTCAACCAGGAAGGTCCCACTGAGATTAAAATCCTCATTTTCAAAGGAGTCGCGGCCAAGAGGCAGCAGAAGCTACAGTTACGACACAGGGAATCCGTCTCAAGGGTTCTCAGTCTGGTTTTAAACGTAGTCAAGGAGATAAACGCGGTTAATTTCCAGTTTTCCTGCAGCCTGGTCCATGCAGAAGGAGCAGAGTGAAGCAGAGCCTTTTAGCCCGGTTCGGTGTGATGCATTTAAACAAACCAATACCAGACATCACCGAAGGCTAATACACTCTAACTACACTTAAAAAGACCATGTGTAGTTTTTACCATCAAGTTCTGGGATTATCCATCAAAATGTTGTTGGTTATGAATGAAATGATGCCCAGTTGTTGAAAAATATTTGCGGCTTCGTAACATATAACCATAAAAATCAGGTCTGACATACATGGGAGCGGGTCTCTGGGCAACGCCATGTTAGACGCCATGTTTCCTTTTATGGGAGCCCAAGAGGACAAAATGCATTTACTGATTTATAACAAACGGTTACAAAACCTTTGTCATTCTTAAATGTTGTTGTTTTACACATTTACCTCTTCACTTGTTGCCAGTGGTGAAAGGGAGTCGGATGTGCCTGTTAGTTTGCTAAACTTTGCACTCCCAAGGGCTTTTGACCTTCTGCTGTTCACCATCTTGCCACAGGAGTCCCCCAGGGCTCTGTACTGGGACCTCTTCTCTTTGCCATATACATCACTGGGTGAGATCATTCGATCACATGGCTTCTCCTACCACTGCTATGCCGACGACACCCACCTCTATCTGTCATTCCCGCCAGATGAACTCACAGTCTCCCCACGAATCTCAGACCGTCTTTCTGACGTATCAAGATGGATGAAATCCCACCATCTCCAACTCAACCGCTCCAAAAGTGAATTACTTGTCGTCCCAGTGAAACTATCCATACGGCACAATATCAATCCAAAATGACTCTCCATCTCTGACTCCTTCAAAGGCAGTTCGAAACTTGGGTGTTGTGATTGACAACCGCCTGACCTTCAAATATCACCTTGCCTCTGTCGCTCGTTCCAGAGATCAGACCATACCTATCACAATATGCCATCCAGCTCCTGGTGCAATCTACAGTCATCTCCCGCCCCGACTACTCTAACGCCCTTCTAACTGGCCTTCCAGCCTGGACTGTGACACCTCTTCAGATGTTCCAGAATGCAGCGGTGTGTCTGGTCTTCAATCAGCCTAAATGTCACTTCTCTGTTCACTGAGCTCCATTGGCTACCGCTAGCTGCACAGATCACATTCAGTCACCAGCATACAAAGTCCTGGATGGTACGGCTCCCATCTACCTGTATCCTCTAGGAAAGGCTTACATCACAGCCCGGCAGCTCCGGTCATCTAAGGACCATGGGCTAGCAGCGCCTACACCACGCTCAGGACAATCCAGACTCTTCTCATGTGTCGTTCCACATCTGTGGAATGACCTACCAAGCACTACCAGAACAGGGCGTCTTTGATGAGAAACTCCTGAAGACCCAGCTCTTCAGAGAGCATCTTCTAAACTAGCACCCTCCCAGTACACGTCCCCTCCTCTACTGTCCACTCCATGTTCGCTTCTCTTAATGATTCATCATGCTGTCTCACTGCCACCTAGGACTGGCTGGTTAGTGTTTGTTGTTAGCCTCAAGGGCAACCTGCTGGTTTCATCATCACCTGTAAGTCGCTTTGGACAAAAGCGTCTGCCACATACTTAAACATAACTTCTTCTTCATGCCGCTTTCACATCCAGTGGAAAGGAGAGGTTACGGTCATAGATACATCTATGGTTACAGTGGCAACAGTGAGAGGTGGGGGAGCAAATGAGGGCAGGAGCAGATAGCTACAGCCAAACCGAACTGATGGAGCGGTGTATCTGGTCGTTTTGTGATTTTGTGGGAAAAAACATTCAGGAGGTCCACCTTGGTACATTAGTGCAGGAAAACTAATAAATACACCTGAAAACATTTCTTTCCTTTAGTTCACCTCCTCGCGTTGTAATGGTATGATGTCATTTCCTGTCATGTTTACTATGTTTACAGCACGTTATACAGATTTGTTTACCTTAATACTGAGAGGCACAATTTCAAACCATCAGTGTTCATTCTGGTATTTAACTCATAATTCCATTCTGATTCTCAGGGTGACGATTCGATTCAGAATCGATTCTTACGCAACTCTTAGTAACAAAGTGTTAACTAGAGTGTGTGTGTGTGTGTGTGCGGGTGTGTGCGGGTGTGTGTGTGTGTGTGTGTGTGTGTGCGGGTGTGTGCGGGTGTGTGTGTGTGTGTGCGGGTGTGTGTGTGTGTGTGTGTGTGCGGGTGTGTGCGGGTGTGTGTGTGTGTGTGTGTGTGTGCGGGTGTGCGTGCGTGCGTGTGTGTGTGTGTGTGTGTGTGTGTGTGTGTGTGTGCGTGTGTGTGTGTGTGTGTGTGTGTGTGCGGGTGTGTGTGTGTGTGTGTGTGTGTGTGTGTGTGTGTGTGTGTGTGTGCGTGTGTGTGTGTGTGTGTGTGTGTGTGTGTGTGTGTGTGTGTGTGCGGGTGTGTGTGTGTGTGTGTGTGTGCGTGTGTGTGTGTGTGTGTGTGTGTGTGTGTGTGTGCGGGTGTGTGTGTGTGTGTGTGTGTGTGCGGGTGTGCGTGCGTGCGTGCGTGTGTGTGTGTGTGTGTGTGTGTGTGTGTGTGTGCGTGCGTGCGTGTGTGTGTGTGTGTGTGTGTGTGTGTGTGTGTGTGTGTGCGGGTGTGTGTGTGTGTGTGTGTGTGTGCGGGTGTGCGTGCGTGCGTGCGTGTGTGTGTGTGTGTGTGTGTGTGCGGGTGTGTGCGGGTGTGTGTGTGTGTGTGTGTGTGCGGGTGTGTGCGGGTGTGTGTGTGTAGGTTCACAGGCTGGTGGTCGTGGATGAAGGCTCTCACATCGTCGGCATCGTGTCTCTGTCGGACATCCTGCAGGCGCTGGTTCTGACCCCTGCAGGTAACACACCTTCAGCAGAAACAGCACTAGGAGTTGAACTCTGACTTCTAGCCTCTCCATCAGGGGTTCATGCTGACTTGCTGACAGGAAGTCTCTGTCTTCATATCAAAGGGGTATTTCGGGGTGGCTAGCGTGAGAAGTTGGGTAATGTCAAGAAGCAACTAGTTAGGCTCTGTCCCTCAGGGGCTTTACCTGAGATGCTGAGGGGACAGTTACCATCAGTTATCACGTCCTGTTGGAACTGACTTCAGGTTGTTGTGTGTTTTGAGTTTGTGTCCGAAAGCGTTGGGTATGGAACGTGTTATTGTTGGTTTGCCGGAGAATTCTAGATGTATACAATCTAGCTTGGCTAGCCGTCATGTATAGTCTGGTCATAGACGGGATTCAGTCATGGGGCGGGATCTACGGTTGTCTTTCAAACAACCCTAACCCCTTAACATGATTTATGAACACTGGTTTACCTGGGGGTATATTTAAGCAGTGGCCAGGAAGATGAATCACAACAAAGACCTTGGAAAGGATTGGGTTTCAGATGAGAGGATATTAAAGAAAACAAAAAAGAGAGGAGGACATGAATCAAATTCAGTATTATCGCAGGTGTATGAAAGAGTTAAACCTAAACTTTCTATAAAAGTCTGTTACAGTCCAGAAATCCCTTCACTCTCTGTGAAAACCAAAGAAGTGATGAGGCTGGGTGAAGAAGTCCCAGATGATACGTGGAAAGACCATCAACTCATTCACAAAAATGGAGGCACTTGATACAGAAAACCCAAAGTCGTGTAAGGAGCTTTGAAAGAAAAGCGTCTGGACTTCTTTGAGTTGCTTGGAGATGTTTCACATCTCATCCGAGAGGCTTCTTCAGTTCTAAGGTCAAATGGTGGAGAGTCCCAGATTCAAACCCAGTGGGAGTTTCCCCCGAAGAGGGAACAAAAGACCCCCTGATGATCTTCTTTTGGAGGGGGGGGGGGTCCTGCTAAACCCTAACCCGGTGTTCCACAGCCCAGACAACCATCTGATGGATCCTCCTCTCCAGGACGCCTGATGGACTTTACCAGAGAGGATCCGAGGAGTGCTCCCCCTGTCCTCTACGGTTCTTCAGTTGTATGAGGAACCTCTTTTTGTTGCTGATATGGACGTCTCCTCTGACCCGGCCGCGTGTATCACCTCTGACGCTGTCTGCCAGGCAGCGTTCTGTCTTCACTGGTTCCCCTGAGCTGGGAGAACTTCTACTTCAACAACCAGAGCCTTCATCTTGCTGGTTTTTTTCAGGAAGAACAGGGATTTCCTGCATGAGCTTTAGAGGGTGTGGTGTGACCAAATATGGTAAATTGAGGGTGTTTCTGAACAAACATGAGCACCTGGGTACAAACATGGCATTCATCAACGCTTGGTTGCAGAGGGACATGCGTACAAGTTTCCCCTGCATGTGGACCTCAACACCTGGACACCACGCCCGTCTGTTGGTTCCTTCTAAATCCCGGTGTGGTCAGCGACTGGGGAGACGGAATGCAGCTCCATCAGGACTGTCAAGCTGAGTCCAACTTATGGTGGTCCAGAAGACCCTCTGGGTCTCCGCTGACAGGACTTATGTCCACGTCAGTAACAGTTTCTCGGTGGGGGACCGGCGTTTTCCAGCGGCACCACTCAGCGTGACTCGGATGGCTGCAGCCTTTTCCTACAACACAGGTGGATCGTTGGTTCTCAGTGCACTGACCCGGTCCACAAATGCAACTGTCTGCTAGGTGTCTCGAGTAAGGACCCCCTCTTTCATCCTGCCATGGGGGTGCAGCCCCCTTTGTCTCGGAGCTGGGAGAAAACCCAACGACCCGTTGGAGCCGAGTCAACCCGCGCTGTACCGAGCTGATTATGCTGAGTGGTGCCGTTGGTGTCTCCAGCAGACCCAGAACTTCTGCCTGAGCCTGGTTCTGATTCATCAGCGTCACCAGCTGCTCTTGATTCTGACCTTCCTGTCTCTGTGTCCTCAGGTCTGGGGAGGAAGGAGTCCATCCCTAGTCAGTCTGCACCCTATCAGAGACCAGAGACCGAGTGTAAACCTGAGCGAGACGAGGAGCCTGGAGAAGACACCAAGGAGGAGGGGGAGACAACAGGACAGGAGCTAGCAGAGGGGGAGACAACAGGACAGGAGCTAGCAGAGGGGGGGACAACAGGAGAGGAGCTAGCAGAGGGGGGGACAACAGGACAGGAGCTAGCAGAGGGGGGGACAACAGGACAGGAGCTAGCAGAGAGAGAGACAAAAGAGGGGGAGACAGCAATGGGGGAGGCAGAAGAGGGGGAGACAACAGGACAGGAGCTAGCAGAGAGGGGGACAACAGGAGAGGAGCTAGCAGAGAGGGAGACAGAAGAAGGGGAGACAGCAATGGGGGAGGCAGAAGAGGGGGAGACAACAGGACAGGAGCTAGCAGAGAGGGAGACATCAGACAGGGAGACAACAATGGGGGGGACAAAAGAGGGGGAGACAACAGGACAGGAGCTAGCAGAGGGGGGGACAACAGGAGAGGAGCTAGCAGAGAGGGAGACAGAAGAAGGGGAGACAGCAATGGGGGAGGCAGAAGAGGGGGAGACAACAGGACAGGAGCTAGCAGAGAGGGGGACAACAATGGGGGAGGCAGAAGAGGGGGAGACAACAGGACAGGAGCTAGCAGAGAGGGAGACAAAAGAGGGGGAGACAACAGGACAGGACCTAGCAGAGGGGGAGACAACAATGGGGGAGGCAGAAGAGGGGGAGACAACAGGACAGGAGCTAGCAGAGAGGGAGACAAAAGAGGGGGAGACAACAGGACAGGAGCTAGCAGAGAGGGAGACAAAAGAGGGGGAGACAACAGGACAGGAGCTAGCAGAAGGGGAGACAGCAGAAGGGGGGACAACAGAGGGGGTGAAACAAGGTAGCGAGACAGCAGAGAGCAGGACACCAGGGCAGAAGACAGAGGGCATAGAGGAGGCACAGACGAGGGAGCAGACAGGTAGAGGTGAGGAAGAGGATGGTGAGGGGGAGGTGTGACATCGTCTGCCTACGTCTCTTTGGACTCTGAAGACTCAGTGACCCAGGTCCATCTGCGGTCTACTAGAAGGCTGTGATTGGGAAGCTGCTACATGAGTGGGAGGGGCCTGATAGTGACAGACACTTACTGGAGCCAATCAGGGATGTCTTAGTGGAAGGTTCTATTTAGTTTGGTTCTGGAAGAGTTTCATGATTCTGCTGGTGAATGAGACAAAGGAATCAGGATCCATGAAGTTCTGGCAGGACCATACTGGCTCTGGAGCCAGAACCCGTCCATGGACTCTTTCTACTTTTTATTCTTCTATGTTTTGTGCTCTCCCTGGGATCTTCACTCACGACCTATGACAGACTTACCCTTCTGGATCTCCGTTATTCTGGGCGTTTTCCCCTGCGTGGCAGCATTAACCTCCGGGAAACGCTCCAACATCAGTTTCCCTCTGTTCCTGTCACCCTATGGAGGATCCATCCTCAATAGAGACTCCCATAACACCGCCGCCGGCGGGGCTGTCGTAGTGGCCGCCAGGTTCGGCTCTGGATTGCGCTGTCAGAGCGCAGCATCTCTGTCTGATATCTGGGCCTCGATGTCGCTCCATTCACTGTGCTTCCCGTCTCCCAGAGCTGCTGTCCCGGACCTGTGACAGATGCTAGCGAGGAGTGACGGCGTCTAATCTCCGACATGTCAACAACTGCCACACCTCTGTAGGTCCTGTCATTCAGCCGCCGGCGCCATTGCAGTGCGCTTTGATCAACGCACGCTCGATCCGGAATAAAACATTCATCTTGAAGGATTTCTTCATCGATCGGGAGTTGGACGTCCTCTTTGTCACCGAGTCGTGGACTGTGCCGGGTGAGTTGGCACCTATCGCCGAACTGTTACCTGCTGGGTGTGCCTACTTGAATGTCCCCAGGCCAACGGGCCGCGGCGGGGGTTTATTAACTATTTTTAAGGCTAATATTCCCTGTCGGCCTACCTCCTACCTGGGAAATTGTGACTTATTCGAACTGTCCACCTTTGAATTGGGATTGTCTCCTCCAACACTTTGTGTATTATTATAGTCCCCCTGAGGCAAATTCTTCTTCTTTCTTCTCCCAATTTTCGGACGTTCTTGCTGATGTCCTCCTTAAGTATGATCATGTGCTTATACTTATTGATTTTAATATTCATGTATAGCTTTATGAATGTCCTGTTTTTGACCTAAAGGTCATGATCTGCTGCGTCTGCTCGAGCAGAGACATAAAGTCTCTGACAGCCTAATCTACATGAGATAGTGGCCAAGGTCTTTCATGCACTCTGCTCATCTGAACTGGTTCACCTCTGTTACAGCTCAAGATGAAGATGAAGAACTCTCTCGATAAATACATAATCAACAACTTTGTTATTACCAATAATAATGTGAGCCCAATGTTCAATCAATCTGTGAAATAACAATGTTATTACTTGATATTACAATCCTGTGATCAGTAGTATTTTAGAAGTTATTATAATCCTGAACATTTGCACTAGACACTAAAAGACACGTAATGCTACAGTCACACGACACATTTCCTTTGGTCTGACCCAATCAGAACCTTCGTTTCTGGCTAGGCGTGGTTTTCTGTGGTGTTTGTATAAACCCTCTTTTGCATGTCAAATTCTGATTCGCCAGTAAACCAAAATATGACAATTATAAAAACTATTCCACGCCACCTTTTCTTTAGTTCAAGCGTTCTAGAGAAGTCTCGGACCGGCCATCCGGACTTCCTCTTCAGCCAAAAGAACCTCGACAAGCTGGATAAAATCTGTTGCGTTACACCTGACCACAACGGTTCCTTCAGAATAAAAGCTGAACCTCACGCCCCGTTCAGGGTCTCGCTGATGCCAATGATAACCTGTCGTGACCTGGAAGCATTCCCAGACTAGTTTGGTCGGCACCACTGCTTTTCTACCGACTTCGGTACCAAGGAGGGTCCAAGAGGACCTCGACATTCTGGATCTAAACGTAGGCTTCCCCTGGGGTACGTAGACCAACAGATGGCGTCTCGTGTGTGTTATAAATCTCCAACTATAGTTTAGAGCGAAACATTCACTCCCACTCAGAACTAACTGCTTCTCCGGATCCACTGGTTCGGATAGTAACATTCCACACACACACACACCATCCTCTCACGTCTCACTCCACCTTAGTCCATCAGTACACAGAGTGTTTAAGCTGGTCTTGTTTAAATTGTGTAGAAATAAATGTCTTAACTATCATGAACCTGACTCTCTCTCTTTCCTCTGAGTTAATACGAAGTGTCGCTTAATCCCTGCAATAAAAAGTTCTGATCTTCTGGTTAAAATATTCAAAGATCCATCAGATTGATATTTCATATTTCTATGGAATCTCACATTTTATGGTTCATAAGTAAGATGTAAACGACCCGTACTTTACACGTCTGTTGTCCTCAGAAGTTCCTGGTGGCTGATGTTTGTAATTTCATTGACTCCTGTGGACTCACTCAGTTGGTTGACTTCCCCACTCATGGGGGGTCTCACATATTGGATTTAGTTTTTTCTTTTGGCGTTAATGTAACAGGTCCGACCTGATGTTTTTTCTCTGTCTGATCACGTTCCTGTTTTGTTTTCTGTGGATGTGGCCCGGCCTGTCTCTCCTAGGCAGGTGGGGATTTGCCATACTCGCCGCATTTCCCCTTCCTCAATAGTTGAGTTTTCTGCTTTATTTTCAGATTTTGTGTTTTCCTATGAGGATTCTTCTGATCCTGAGATCCTCCTATCCCTCTTTTCTGCCTCTTGCACTTCCGTGCTCGATCAGATTGCCCCTCTAAGATCCCGACGCTCCTGCGGTCGCTCTGACCCTTGGCTCAACCTTCATACCTGTACTGCTAGATGGGAATGTAGGAGATGTGAGCGGCGGTGAATAAAGGTTGAATCTCCGGCTTCCTTCCAGCTTCTCCGTGAGGCCTGGAGGAATTACCAACGCGTCGCTCGGAAGGCCCGTTTTGACTATTTTGCTGCTATTGTTACCGAGTTTTCGGGTAACCAGCGAGTCCTCTACTCCTCTGTTAATGCACTTTTGTCACCCAACGTTCCTCTGCCTAATACGTCTGAGGAAAGGTGCACCCAATTTTTGCAGTTTTTTATCTCTAAAGTTGCCACAATTGGGGCTCAGATTCTGCCTCCCTCTCACCCAGAAGCCCCTGTTTGTTCTCCATTATATTCCTCTGAGCGTTTTCCCCGTCTCTTCTTCCTCCCTATGGAAGACAGAGGCTGCTATGACGCCCTCTGGCTCTCCTTGTGATGTTATGCCCCCTCGCTTCCTGAAGGAAGTCTTCCCAGTTATTACTCAACTGATCCTGGAGATCCTTAATGCAAGCCTTAGGACGGGGATTGTTCCCCAGGAGTTTAAGCATGCGGTGTGTAACGTGATGAAGGAGCTATTCCTCCGAAGGTTATTTATTGATATGGTATCACTCTGGGGTTGTATACTGTTGATCTAAAGTGGAATGACCCAGTGGAAACAGCAATTTTCCATTTTAGAGCATTTTGAAATTTTTAATTTAATTTTTAAATTTTTTTAAATTGCCCATATACGACCAAACTTTCAGTGATTTCAAAATGCTTTAAAATGGAAAATTGCTGTTTCCACTGGGTCATTCCACTTTAGATCAACAGTATAAAGCCCCACAGTGATACCATATCAATATTAAGTCATTCTGATGGTGCTTTCCAAAATAAAGGCCTTTTTAAATTGCCCATTTACGACCAAAATTTCAGTTATTTCAAAATGCTCTAAAATGGAAAATTGTTGTTTCCACTGGGTCATTCCACTTTAGATCAACAGTATACAACCACACAGTGATACCATATCAATATCAAGTCATTCTGATGGTGCTTTCCAAAATAAAGGCCTTTTAAAAATGCCCATATACGACATTTGAAATCGTTAAAGGTAGGTCAATTGAGGACCATTTAAAAAGGCCTTTATTTTGGAAAGCACCATCAGAATGACTTGATATTGATATTGTATCACTGTGTGGTTGTATACTGTTGATCTAAAGTGGAATGACCCAGTGGAAACAACAATTTTCCATTTTAGAGCATTTTGAAAATTTTAATTTAATTTTTAAATTTTTTTTAATTTCCCTTATACGACCAAACTTTCAGTTATTTCAAAATGCTCTAAAATGGAAAATTGCTGTTTCCACTGGGTCATTCCACTTCGGATCAACAGTATACAACCCCACAGTGATACCATATCAATATCAAGTCAATCTGATGGTGCTTTCCAAAATAGAGGCCTTTTTAAATCGCCCATATACGACATTTGAAATCATTAAAGGTAGGTCAATTGTGGACCATTTAAAAAGGCCTTTATTTTAGAAAGCACCATCAGAATAACTTGATATTGATATGGTATCACTGTGGGGTTGTATACTGTTGATCTAAAGTGGAATGACCCAGTGGAAACATCAATTTTCCATTTTAGAGCATTTTGAAATCACTGAAAGTTTGGTCGTATATGGGCAATTCAAAAAATTTTAAAAATTAAATTAAAAATTTCAAAATGCTCTAAAATGGAAAATTGCTATTTCCACTGGTTTATTCCACTTTAGATCAACAGTATACCACCCTACAGTGATACCATATCAATATCAAGTCATTCTGATGGTGCTTTCCAAAATAAAGGCCTTTTTAAATGGTCCACAATTGACCTACCTTTAAAGATTTCAAATGTCGTATAAGGGCAATTTAAAAAGGGCTTTATTTTAAAAAGCACCATCAGAATGACTTGATATTGATATGGTATCACTGTGGGGTTGTATATTGTTGATCTAAAGTGGAATGACCCAGTGGAAACAGCAATTTTCCATTTTAGAGCATTTTGAAATCACTGAAAGTTTGGTCGTATATGGGCAATTCAAAAAAATTTAAAAATTAAATTAAAAATTTCAAAATGCTCTAAAATGGAAAATTGCTGTTTCCACTGGGTCATTCCACTTTAGATCAACAGTATACAACCCTACAGTGATACCATATCAATATCAAGTTATTCTGATGGTGCTTTCCAAAATAAAGGCCTTTTTAAATTGCCCATATACAACCAAACTTTAAGTGATTTCAAAATGCTCTAAAATGGAAAATTGCTGTTTCCACTGGGTCATTCCACTTTAGATCAACAGTATACAACCCCACAGTGATACCATATCAATATTAAGTAATTCTGATTGTGCTTTCAAAAATAAAGGCCTTTTCAAATTGCCCATGTACGACATATGAAATCGTTAAAGGTAGGTCAATTGTGGACCATTTAAAAAGGCCTTTATTTTTCGAAAGCACAATCAGAATGACTTGATATTGATATGGTATCACTGTGGGGTTGTATATTGTTGATCTAAAGTGGAATGACCCAGTGGAAACAGCAATTTTCCATTTAAGAGCATTTTTAAATCACTGAAAGTTTGGTCGTATATGGGCAATTCAAAAAAAATTTAAAAATTTAATTAAAAATTTCAAAATGCTCTAAAATGGAAAATTGCTGTTTTCACTGGGTCATTCCACTTTAGATCAACAGTATACAACCCCACAGTGATACCATATCAATATCAAGTCATTCTGATGGTGCTTTCCAAAATAAAGGCCTTTTTAAATTGCCCATATACAACCAAACTTTAAGTGATTTCAAAATGCTCTAAAATGGAAAATTGCTGTTTCCACTGGGTCATTCCACTTTAGATCAACAGTATACAACCCCACAGTGATACCATATCAATATTAAGTCATTCTGATTGTGCTTTCAAAAATAAAGGCCTTTTCAAATTGCCCATGTACGACATATGAAATCGTTAAAGGTAGGTCAATTGTGGACCATTTAAAAAGGCCTTTATTTTTCGAAAGCACAATCAGAATGACTTGATATTGATATGGTATCACTGTGGGGTTGTATATTGTTGATCTAAAGTGGAATGACCCAGTGGAAACAGCAATTTTCCATTTAAGAGCATTTTAAAATCACTGAAAGTTTGGTCGTATATGGGCAATTCAAAAAAAATTTAAAAATTTAATTAAAAATTTCAAAATGCTCTAAAATGGAAAATTGCTGTTTTCACTGGGTCATTCCACTTTATATCAACAGTATAAAGCCCCACAGTGATACCATATCAATATCAAGTCATTCTGATGGTGCTTTCAAAAATAAAGGCCTTTTTAAATTGCCCATAAACGACCAAACTTTCAGTGATTTCAAAATGCTCTAAAATGGAAAACTGCTGTTTTCACTGGGTCCTTCCACTTCAGATCAACAGTATACAACCCCACAGTGATACCATATCAATATCAAGTCATTCTGATGGTGCTTTCCAAAATAAAGGCCTTTTTAAATTGCCCATTTACGACCAAAATTTCAGTTATTTCAAAATGCTCTAAAATGGAAAATTGCTGTTTCCACTGGGTCATTCCACTTTAGATCAACAGTATACAACCCCACAGTGATACCATATCAATATCAAGTCATTCTGATGGTGCTTTCCAAAATAAAGGCCTTTTTAAATTGCCCATTTACGACCAAAATTTCAGTTATTTCAAAATGCTCTAAAATGGAAAATTGCTGTTTCCACTGGGTCATTCCACTTTAGATCAACAGTATACAACCACACAGTGATACCATATCAATATCAAGTCATTCTGATGGTGCTTTCCAAAATAAAGGCCTTTTAAAAATGCCCATATACGACATTTGAAATCGTTAAAGGTAGGTCAATTGAGGACCATTTAAAAAGGCCTTTATTTTGGAAAGCACCATCAGAATGACTTGATATTGATATGGTATCACTGTGGGGTTGTATACTGTTGATCTAAAGTGGAATGACCCAGTGGAAACATCAATTTTCCATTTTAGAGCATTTTGAAATCACTGAAAGTTTGGTCGTATATGGGCAATTTAAAAAATTTTAAAAATTAAATTAAAAATTTCATAATGCTCTAAAATGGAAAATTGCTATTTCCACTGGTTTATTCCACTTTAGATCAACAGTATACAACCCTACAGTGATACCATATCAATATCAAGTCATTCTGATGGTGCTTTCCAAAATAAAGGCCTTTTTAAATGGTCCACAATTGACCTACCTTTAACGATTTCAAATGTCGTATATGGGCACTTTAAAAAGGGCTTTATTTTAAAAAGCACCATCAGAATGACTTGATATTGATATGGTATCACTGTGGGGTTGTATACTGTTGATCTAAAGTGGAATGACCCAGTGGAAACAGCAATTTTCTATTTTAGAGCATTTTGAAATCACTGAAAGTTTGGTCGTATGTGGGCAATTTAAAAAAATTTAAAAATTAAATTAAAAATTTCAAAATGCTCTAAAATGGAAAATAGCTGTTTCCACTGGGTCATTCCACTTTAGATAAACAGTATACAACCCCACAGTGATACCATATCAATATTAAGTCATTCTGATTGTGCTTTCAAAAATAAAGGCCTTTTCAAATTGCCCATGTACGACATATGAAATCGTTAAAGGTAGGTCAATTGTGGACCATTTAAAAAGGCCTTTATTTTTCGAAAGCACAATCAGAATGACTTGATATTGATATGGTATCACTGTGGGGTTGTATATTGTTGATCTAAAGTGGAATGACCCAGTGGAAACAGCAATTTTCCATTTAAGAGCATTTTAAAATCACTGAAAGTTTGGTCGTATATGGGCAATTCAAAAAAAATTTAAAAATTTAATTAAAAATTTCAAAATGCTCTAAAATGGAAAATTGCTGTTTTCACTGGGTCATTCCACTTTATATCAACAGTATAAAGCCCCACAGTGATACCATATCAATATCAAGTCATTCTGATGGTGCTTTCAAAAATAAAGGCCTTTTTAAATTGCCCATAAACGACCAAACTTTCAGTGATTTCAAAATGCTCTAAAATGGAAAAATGCTGTTTCCACTGGGTCATTCAACTTTAGATCAACCCTACACCACCCCACAGTGATACCATATCAATATCAAGTCATTCTGATGGCGCTTTCCAAAATAAAGGCCTTTTTAAAGTGCCCATATACTACATTTGAAATCGTTAAAGGTAGGTCAATTGTGGACCATTTAAAAAGGCCTTTATTTTGGAAAGCACCATCAGAATGACTTAATATGAGTTGGTCGCTCAGAATAAGGTGAAGAATGTGTGAATTAACTGAGGGATATACTCTTGCATTGGCTTATAGCTCCGCATCACAGCAAAAAATATTATCTTTTTTTTATGGTGTTTAAACCTAGATTCTGTGACAACTCATTCAAACAAACACAAATTTTAACCTACTCCCAAGTGTGTCCTAAAAGAAATCTAACCATTGGCTACAGACTGACTGCTTCGCTCGCTCGCTCACTCACTCACTCACTCACTCACTCACTCACTCACTCACTCACTCACTCACTCACTCACTCACTCTCCCCTAACACCAACAACACCACAAAGTTTCACAGCTTTTCACGCAGCTTATAAAGAAGCGACACGCTGGCTGAGCCAATGACGTCACCGGCACATACCGAGGCCTCGGTCATGTGGTTTCCTCTTCCTGACACAAGCCTCGAAGCAGGGCTTCATTTGGCACGCCCACTTTTGCTCGACACACGCTCCGGTGCCTCGCTTTGTTTTTCCCATCACTACATACAGGCCAAACCCTTTAGGCACATCTTCCCTACATGTTATATAAGAGATTTGAAATCAAGAAGAAAAACTTGCCACACAGTTTGAATATGTTCTTAATGAGATGTTATTAGTGGAAATTAAACATAAATAGATCTAAAGATGTTTCTGGTACTTTTACCATCATTCTGTTGTGGAAAGACGGCTCTCCCTTGCCCTGCCTCCAACATGCCTCCATCTAAATAGGATAGATTATCCAGAGTTAACTCTGTAGTTATGCTGCTATAGGCTTAGACTGCTGGAGGACACACTGACCACTTTTCACTCTCTACTGCTTTCTTCTACAATCTGCTCTTTAACTGTATTATTTCCTGCAATTTCAGCTGTTAACTTTATTTTCTCTCTAAGTGTTTTTCTCCCCAGAAGAAGCTACAACGATGTTCTGCTGAGCTGTGGTGGCCTCATGGAGGGGGCCATCGACTAGCACACTGCTGCTAACCACTTAAACATTCTCCCTCTCCTGATAATAACTTTTTGCTTTCCTTGACGTTGGATGTGCTACTACTAGTTTATCCGTTTAATTATAGATCCACTAGGATAAATACAATAAAGTTTATCTCCCACCAAATAAAATATTTACTAAGACATCACAATAGAACTATAGACACATTACTAGTCTTTGTGTGTGTGTGTGTGTGTGTGTGTGTGTGTGTGTGTGTGTGTGTGTGTGTGTGTGTGTGTGTGTGTGTGTGTGTGTGCGTGCGTGCGTGTGTGTGTGTGTCTGCTCTGTCTTCTCCATCCCCGGTGAGTCGTGGAGGATGGCTGCTTATACTGAGCCAGGATTCTCTGGAGGTTTCTTCCTGTTAAAAGGGAGTTTTCCTCTCCACTGTCGCTGCATGCTTGCTTAGTATGAGGATTGCTGTATAGTCACTGACACTAGTCAGTGACTTGATGCAACCTGCTGGGTTCCTTATATAGGAAACATTATTTCTGATTGGCTTAATGAACTGACCTGAATTGGAATGTTTATTATGTGAAGTGCCTTGAGACGACTCTTGTCGTGATTTGGCGCTTTATAAATAAAGTTGAATTGAATTGAAAGTCAGCACAAATATTCAGTGAAAACTTTAAAAAGCTGCTTAAACCTTCATTATTTTATAGTGGGCCTGTCTATATTTATAAAATCAGTTGATTGTTTAAAGTAACTGTAACTAAAGTTACTCAGAGCCACAGTAAAAGGTCCAGCCTGAGTTAAGCTGTGGTAGCTGGAGAGGAGCTGAGAAACAGCATTAAAGCGTTTGCTGTTTGCTTGTTCACATTTAATTCAAATAGAATATATGAGACATCAGTTATATCATAATTGTATGTATGTTTAACAGTCATGTTAGAGATAAAAGGCAGAATAGATAAAAAATAAACATTTTAACTTTATCTGGTTAGACTGAAGCTTCACGTCCCACAAGGAGCGGTCTCTGTCCCACATGTGGTGAGCTGGGATCTGGTCGTCCTGCTGAAGAATGATTACAGTCATTTGGAATATTTTCAGATGTTTTTATGTTTGGTGTTTATGAATTAACCTCATAATAATAGTTAATTATTATATGATGATCCCTGATTAGTTATTTCGGTTTATTATATTCAGCTCTCTTGAACAGTAGGACTGGTAGAAAACTGCTTGCATTTTGCAAAAACATCACATAAAAATATTTTTTTTAATATTCTCAATAAAATAAAAGTATATAAATGTCAGCGGTCACTCCAAAACCCACGGTGGAATGGATGCACATCTGCAGCACGTGAGGACCTTGTTTGGGGGGAGTTATTTTAGTTGTCACTTTTTTCACAGCCGAGTTCGTGGCTATGAAAAATAGATGCATGTAAACTAAAAATGTATTTTTTTTAATTCTATGCACGTGGTTTGTATTTTAGTACCACGTGGCTTTACGTATTATTGCTGCAGCTCATTGTGGCGGATGTGAAGTAACCCAACATGAAGTGGAAAACAAATCGATGCAATATTCAAAAACAATATATTTGTAGCGTCATGAATGTCCTGTTTTTGACCTAAAGGTCATGATCTGCTGTAGAGCCCTGCACTGGAGCCCCAGGCCTGGGGGTCGGCCTGGCCCTCGGGCCGGGCTTCGGGCCAACGACTGTGTAATTACCTCGGACACGGGCCGGACCGGGCCGGGCGCCTTTATTTTTAACCAAATTCATAAAAAAACTGAAACACTTGAACGCAGCAGCACCTGCCTGCTTCTCACACACCGGCACCGTTAGCTCAGTTAAGGTGTGTGTGGTTTATAAATGCGCCTTTATAAAGGAATTCTCTAACTGCTGACTGAAACACGTGCCCCTGTTCTAATACGCCGTGTTATGTCCACTCTGATGTCAGAAACGTTCGTTTATCCTCATGAAAACGGCAGCGTTTCTATTTTTACTGGATATTCCAGCCATGGTCTCCCACGGTACCAGGAGGGCAAAATGAGCGCATGTTCTTCCCAAAATGGCGCTTGGGGAAAACCAGAGCGGTGGGTTGGGACGGTGCGCTACTGTTCAGGCCTGTGTCACCCACAGCGACGGCTGGGTTGGTAGCGACGGGGACAGCAGGAGGGGCTGCGGTGCTTGTGCCACTGGTTGTTCCAGTCCTGCCCTGAACACGGGGGGTTGTGGCGAGTTGAGAAGCACCGACGAGCCGGCTTCTGCCGCTAGTGCCTTAGCAGCTGCTCGGTTTAGAAACCAGAAACCTGCGCATGTCGACTCGGTTCACTTCAAAAACAAATGAAAGAAGAGAACGAGGCAAACTAAAACATTGAGAAAGAGTAACCAAATAACTGCGGTGACCGACAGCAGAAGAAAGCTGGCTGAGCTCAGATAGCAACGGCGCGTCTCTGTTCTTATTAATATAAGTTACAAGCAGGTACAGAAGCATGCTGAGGTCACGCTAGACGTGTTTGTTTTCAGGTTAAAAACAGTCATGATCGTTTTCATTTCTCACATAATAAATAATCAAAAGTAGATAAACAAGCTGATGAGCGTGTCCAGCATCATATTAATGTTATAATTAAAGGGTTTCACCTGCGGCTGGGCTGTGACCCACAGATGCGCCCAGAGCTGCACTGATCACGGTGTCCAGGTCTGAGATGATGCTCAGATGTTCTCATGTGCGTGACGTTTAAAATGTCTGCACGCCTGCATGTGTCGGGTACTTCCAGTCTGTCAGAATGACCAACAGCCCTACGATTGCTCCTCAAAATAAACGGTCAACAACGGAGACTATCCAGTTAACGCCATCCCTGCCAATATGCAACTTTTCTGCCTTCTTGTGACGGCAGCATGGCGCCCTCTAGTGGACCATTTTCTGCAGGTTTATAAGCGACCGGCGCTTCCTTTGTTTATTAACCTAGCTATTCCACCATGCCACGCGCTACAGCACCCCATACGTCCCCTGAAAAGGACCCATAAGGGTTTGTTGTTACCTATGCTGACATGTTTTTACAATTCGCTTGACGTTGCTCTGACGAAGGCGGGACTGAAATGTCACAAGTCAGCAAAGGTAACAACAAACCCTCATCACTAGGTTTATAATGAAGAATAGAAAATGTAACAGTTATTCTGCGTTGACTCCAGTTGGGTTTGGAGAGTAGGACCCATCCAATATGGTGGCAATGCTGTTACACTCTCCAGCGCCCCATTATGGGCCATTCCCATCTGTACCGGGTCGGCCCGGGCCGGGTAGCGTAGGTTGTTTACATATCTGGGTGGCCTGGAATTTTCCCGGGCCAACCAAGGCTCATTCTCAGCCCTCTTCTGGAGGGGGTCTGCTTCAGGCCGACCAGGGCCAACACACCCACTGCTGACAGCAAATTCACACCTTCCATTAGAGCAAGCCTCTGATTGGTGGGTAGAATCAGCCCACATGGGCTTAAGACAAGGATGTGTGGAATCAACCGGGCCAGGCTGGGGCCGACTGTGGCTACCCGGCCCGGGCCGACCCGGTACAGATGGGAATGGCCCATTAGGCATCCACATAACCCCGTCTGTGGTGTGGGTACTCCGCCCGAGACCACAATCCTGGACACTCACTGTGCTGGGCTACAACTGGTACGCCAGAACTAAACCAGTCTCTGTCATCAGCTAGTTCACATCTGGTCTGTCTGTCCCCTCAGGGGTCCACATGAAGCCTTCAGACCCAAGCGGGCTGGTTCTGTTCTAGTGATGGGTCTGGATGCGCTGAAACCAGAGTGGCCCTGATGCTGCAGCTGAGAAAAGAATGACCCAGGGCGGTTCTGTTAGTTCCATCTGGGTCCAGTTGTCCCTGTCCACATGTGGCAGCTCTTTGTACTGATTTATCCATCTGAGGAAGACTAGTCTCTCCAGAACTACCAGAACATTCTGTTGGTGGGAGGATCTTTCATCAGAACGTGAGAAAGCTTATTCTGCCTGATAAAGGTGTACCCCAAGGATGTGTCCTGGGATCAGATTAACTCTGAATCATGATGTCACCAAAACAAAGTTTGACGTTAATGCAGAAAACGTGGT